CTGTGCCAACTCCTTCTAGCATTTCTGCCTCAAATCACAGAGGATGAATCTGGAACTGTTGTTAAGCATTAGGATTTAGCTGACAAACCAAGATTCTGCAGATAATGCCTTTGATAGATCCACATCACGTTCTTTGAGAGGATCATCCCATCCCTGTCAGGTGTTTCCTTTTAGACCTGACAAAGTAGTCTCTTCCACTTGTAGAGTTTTGTTTAAATTCACAACTGATTTAGGAAAAAGGACATGGCACCATCCCTTAACAATCTCCATGCTTTTGCAACTCATTCTTTTTCTATTCTCCTCCAAACATGTTTCTGTATGACAATATTAGTTCAATGCAACAAGAAAACATGTGGGATCAGAAACAATTAGCTCAACATAGAGTATTCACAAATGACTGATGAACAGCTCCAGAGCTGTCAGTCACAATGATTTAACCAATTTAACTCCCATTTAAATCTGTGTAAATCTTACCATTATTTCCCTGTCATTTTATATGCCCCTCCTAAAAAAACTCATGTCGAACAGATCTAGAAGCCAGAGTCAGTAACACTACTTGCTACCATAAAAATGACCAATGTGACCAGGATTCCCAGCAACAGGTCACTAATATTACTCTTCAAATATTTTAAAATATTACTTAAGTGTACACAAGGCATTTAAGCAGTAATATTTTGTATACAAATATTAAATGGAAATACACTTGCAGTGATATTTTCGGAACCTTTTTTGTGCCTCAACTTGGGCCCTCTGCATTTAATACTGCGGTTATAACCTGTGCCATTCACCTCTAGATGTTACAAAATAAATAGAGAAAACTTTATTAATATAATTTGTTGAAGCTTTTGTTTTCCCTTTCCATTCAAATCTATTACCACAGTAAATATGTATTTTGAATACATAGAGAATACTGAATCAGGTCCTTGATTAGAGTTTGATTTATACCACAAAGACCAAAAGATTCAGAGGTTGCCAAGGCAACACCACTTCAACCCCCTTATATTTCTGCTTTGATACGAAGCTTCTCATTACATAAATGTATCACAACACCAGCCAGCATGACAGGCTATTTTACAAGTGTCTTCAGTTAGCAGACATCTATATTCTTCTGTTAGGTGGGGGGAAAGGTAGGAACAAGGCTGCCCTTTACTAAGTGGGAGAAAGCAACAAAAACAACATTCCAAGCTATATGGGCTTTATTATGAAAGTGTATCCTCAGCTTTTTAATATTGCCAATAAAGTTTGTATTATTTGTCCAAAAATCCACAAAAGGACAGAAAGCAAAACAAAAAAAAAAAAAAACAATAAATAAAGTCCAAAACTATGGTGCTTGAATTTTGAGTAATTGCAACTAATTACAGTATACAAATCTTTACTGAACCACTGGAATTCAGATATTCCAGCACACGTTGTTTAGAACTGCGGCCTAGGCAAAATCTAATAAAGAATAATAGAGGGAACAGAAATATACTGAAGTTTTTTATACCACAGCTTTGAGGACTTTGGTACTTGGCAGTAAGTACCACCATCCCTCTTTACTGTGTAGTATCCATTACGCGGCAGCCTATAGTTCATGTTCCAGAGCCCCTTAGCACAGCCAGGTTCCATAGAGGAGGGCTCTTTTAAAGACAGTTACTTCTGTTTCTCCTTCTTAGTCCTCCAGACCACACAGAGACTGAGCAAACTGCTAGCTGATCTAGAACATAAGGAATAACTTGATGGAACGGTTAGCAACAGAATAGCAACAGTTCCAGATGTATCCCCGCAAATACTTCCTCATGCCCCAGCAAAACCTGTGCTTCCTGGAGGCTTTTCAGAGATAGTATTATCAATAATCAGCTACTTCTGCATCATCTGGAGACATTCCAGTATGAGCTGAATTTTGGAACCTTTGAATTTTTAAGCAGAACGTTGCAAGTAAGAATAAGCATAGATATCAATAGTTATGGATAAGATATGAACATTTGAATGGCATAGGCTTAAAACTTTGATTTCTCTCTTCACTTCCACTTCTGGCTTATAACTTCCAATCATGCTTATATCACTGTGCATAAGTGGCACATTGATTGTGATTAGCAGTAAACAAAGCAAATATTGCAGTTTCGTGAAAGGGAGAGTTGAAAAAGCACCACTAGGGGGCACATCCAACTTTAGCAAACTGATTCCAAGGCTAACTCCTTATGTCGTTCCAGGTCAGCAGCAGCAGCTCTAAGTTTGCAATGACAAAACAACCACACTTACAAGTATTTCTAGTTGAATTGAACAGTAACTCCCCAGTTACAAGGATTTCCATTCCTTTGGTTTCTATAAGAAGAAATCCCTTTTAGGAAAAATGACACTGTATGCCACCTCGCATCGCAAGATTTATGCTACCTGAATTATACTGTGTACTGCAAAACATTCATGGCATGGACTATCCTGGAGTATGCACCTGCATCCAGTGCCTTGATGTACTGTAAAAAAGAACCAGCTTCCCCATACACTTAATTCCAGCTGCAACTTTAAGAGATGCAAATACTGCAGGACCACAGCTGTACTCAGAATTCCCTATCTCACTGATTAACAGGGTGATATACCATTTGTTCTGGTCTTCACACTATGTTGCTTCTCATTCTCTAAAGTGTAGTGATGACTCCTGACCAGTTAGTGGCTATATCGTGTCTTTCAGCATACTCTTTTCCATCACCTTTCATTTTAAATGATAGAGATTCTGAAAACAGTAGATTATGCACCCACAGCCCACCCAAGATCCCAACACTCAAGGGACAGAAAAAAAAAAAAAAACTAAGAAAAAAAGAAACTTCAGATAGACAGTTCATGTAGGACAGCTAGAAGACTGACATCAGAATCAAGAAGTATCACGCTGTGATGCCGTCCACCCTGACATTCCCACATACGGTAGGCTGTGAAAGCTGGAGAAGAGCCAGCACAGCAGAAAACCTTCAGGGTTATTTTGCATAGGACTATGCAAATTCTTCACGAATCTGAGAACTCGAGATCAGGGTTATTGGCTTATCAACTCTCACCAGTACTAAAACATACATAGCTAACCTTAGATGACATCTTCTTTCAAAAAAAATACTGCTGAACAAGGAGTTGAATGAAATCAATCACTTGCTCAAGGGATTTCTAAGACATGCATTTTCTTAATTATTGTCAGATATGCAGGTCAACAAAAAGAAAGATTAATTTCTGAATGAACAGGATAACTGATGTTTAAACATTACATGGAAAGACAGATTGTAAACTAAAGCATCCCAATGCTTAGGTTTGTGAAATAATAGGAAAATGCAGAATGCACTTGCAATCAAGGAACTGCATGCATCCTCATCCACCTGCTGATGGCATGGGGCAAAACTATCTCCAGACTACATCTTCCCATCACTTATACCTGGCTAGTAAAGGATGTGTTACTTCTTCCTCAACCATGTACTCGTACTGATTAATGCAATACAAAGAATGGAGTGTGGTGTTTACACCAGCAACCTTAGGTCACAGAACAAAATGACATTAGCAAAAATAGTCAAGTCAGCTTTATTTTGTGTGAGACTCGGTGCTGCCATCTCACCTGCTCACTGATACGTATTATGACCCATGTTATGGTTTTGGTTTTCTTAATTCTTCATCAGAGGCACTAAGAATCAAAATGTCACCTTGCCAGTGAAAGGCATTGTTGAGATCTGCAGCAGTGCTCAGTTCTCGGGAGAAACTTAATACAAGCTCTATCTCACAAAACACCTGCCAGGAATCTGCATTTCTTGGCTCAATCTATATCATAACTATTCCTCACACTGAACGGGAGCACCATTGTGCACCACAGCAAAGAACCAGGAATTAAAAAAGCCACTCACTCACACAAGATGCATGTGCTCAAAGCCATTCATTGTGCTGTATCCATTCCCTCCTCAGTCCTCTCCCTGGCATATATAAATCAAAGGTGGAAGCATTATTTCTTCTACGCCTTCCTCTCTTTTCAAAACCTTACTTGTGCACAATTACAGAAGCTGATACACAGTTAGGTATACGTATATGTGCACCTTTCAACCTAACAAGACTGGATGGATGGATCACAGTCTATCCACGCTTTGTGAAAACATGGTAAAAGTACACCCTAGCTATACATGACTTTGTAAAGCAATGGTTAAATATACTTCACAACACAACACGGACATTTAAGGAAGACCTCATACCAGAAAGACCGCAGCATCCAGCATATATTGAAAGCAATTCCTGAGAAAGGAAAGCTGCTGAAAGAAAAGCCAACTTTATAAGAAGTATGCATGTTTTGTCTGTTTATACATTACCAGTGCTATAATTTTAAATTTCTAGTAAGAAATTCGAGGGAAAAAGAAAAAGCAGAACACTTAATGAACTTAATTCCTCACAGAAGAGATTATTCACTGATACATAATACTAGTGTCTATTAGTTTCCTAATCAGGTCTTAACAACTGATTCCCAGCTATTTACTTCAAAATTTCACTGCTGCTTTTTTGAGAACATTCACAAATTTATACCCAAGACTTACCGAAAATACTCTCCAGTAAAGTTTTTTACCATTGTATTTCTACTTCCATTTTTGGGTTGTTTAACATCAGAAACTTACTCTTAAGCACTTCCTCACCTACATTTTCTATGGTAATGCGAGACAAGTTCCAAGGACAATGTTCAGTGAAATAGGTAACAAATATCCTGTCTAGACAGGAGACGCAGACAAGACTGTTCATCTTCTTTCAGTTCTGCCATCTGTTTACAACTTTGATAGTAAGCTGAATAATTGCAAATGTCTGCTTTTTTTTTTTTTTTTTTACATTAAAAAATATAAATTTGCTCTGTCTAAATAAGGAACAAAATTTTAAAAGCTACTAGTATCTGTTTAACAGTTAGTTCACTATTCTACAGTTAGTTAAATGCCAGGAAAAGCCAGGGGCTATTTCACATTCTTACACAGCACATAAACACATCAGTAAGCTATAGATAACACTGTTCACGTGCCACTCACCCGGTGTAGCTTCTGCCAAAATTCAGGTCCATCCTCCATTTTTCTCAAGCTTGGTGGAATGTACCAAAAACAAACATTTGCGTACTCCGGCTAAATAAGAGAACAAGTGATTGCTTATAAAATATAGACAACAGGACAGGAAAACATGTAACACTTCAAGTTCTGCCTTATTTGAAGATTACACTTTGAGTCCTCCTTCTCCAATTTATCTTTTGTTTCCCCTTTTTGAAAAAAGAACGTTTGTAACATTGTCCACTTCTTTCCCTACTGCCAGAAAATTGAACTCTACTGGGATTCCTTCAATTCTTAAGACATACCTACTTAATTTTGCCTTGCTAGAAATTTTCATTGGGAAAAAAAAAGTGTAAGAGAGGCATAAAAAGCTAACATGTGGATTTCAAAATTGTATTTCTCTTTAAAGTTACTACCTTCTTTTTTTTAAGTGCCGTTTCCAGAATACAGATTTCGTATGATGCATTTTACACAAAACACACAAGCTCATTATTTTTGGCACTGCTTAGTATTTGCACACCCAGTCATTTTTCTACTCAACTATGCCAATTCTCTCTTAGATCATGACATGTAGCACACTATGTAGTTATTGAGTTAATGCTGGTCTTCTCAGATCCCGCTGTTTTTGTGTTTTTTTTCTTAATGAATCTCAGGATGCTTTATTTGATACATGCCATGTACTGTAAAGATCTTGTCCAATGTCTAAGCAAGTCTTTTGAGCAAAGACTCCACATCTCTGCTTCCCTCCTGCACAATGTTTCATTTAAACTCAGTGGAGAGTAAACTGCAAGCCTCCTGACGAGAAGAATGGATGTTCATCATACATTATAAAAGAAAGCATTTTGTTTTATGAGGTTTCCATTTTGTCTGTAATTGAAAAAAGGCTCCCAGCAGACCATTCCAGAATCTGACTAAATTTCATACTAATTTGGAACAAATTTTATTCTGTTTTTTACCTGTACAGATAGCAATAGCATGAGTAGATATGTGTTCCAATCCTATCCAATGCTACCACAGCAACACTCAGTTAATCGTGACCTATATCATTTGCAATGCAGTATTTAACTGGGTTCTAAATCACAACTTGGATTATGAACTAACACTCCCTCTCCCTTCCACACACCATCCTCATTAGTATGGTTGAATGAAAAAAAAAATAAGTTAAAAGGAAGCCTGACAGATGGATCACACCACTGCTTCATCCCACTGAATGTGGCTGCTCTTACAACCAAGGCAGACCCTGAATGAGGAGAGCCCACCAGCTGAGATGTGGTCTTTCATGAAAGGGCACCGGGAACTGCTCATACCATTTTCCGCCTCGCTTCAAAGAATGCATTAAATACAATTTAATCATCAAGGAGAATATCGTCAGCAGGAATAGAACTGCAAACCTGCCACCTGCTGTCCCTGAATGAAAAAAAGCTCAGCACTTGAAGTCTCATTTCTTCCCCCAAAGTGCCTGTACTAAGTACACACAAACACAGACCCTAAAGAGGCAGTGATTTCCTCATGAACGCAAATATGAGCTGACTGTTGGAGGGTTTATTCTAAAACTGTTTAAAATCAGATGACAGCATGAAGCAGATGGCATATATTACCACGTTGCCACTGCCTATATTGCCTCCTTGATTATCTCTGTTTCCTTTCACATATCAGATACTTCATCCCTCTCTGAAAATACTGTTCATCCAAGAAAATCCCAACTACCCCCAGCTGTGCTTCACTATTGCTTGTCACCTTGTCACAGTTCTCATCCAAGCAGGTAAGCAGTTGTACCACCGAGGAGTTCAAGATGACACATGCACGTGTGGTATTTCCAGGCTGCAGAGCAGTTCTCGTTACAAGACTTTCTCTGCGTGCACCAGAGGATCATCTTCCCAAGATTCTTGTCTGAAGTCCAATTTCCTTTCATGAACGGCTCACTTAACTTGCCCTGACTTTCCTTAAACTCTCACTGCTTGTCCTCTTATGCTCCTGAAAACATTTTAACCCTTGCTCAACCTCCATCTCATAGCCCATAACATAGCATTCTCTCCAATCTCATTCTCCATCCTAGTGTCCTATTCCCAAAGGAACTAAACAGCAGTCTCTGCTCTCCCAACACCTTTCACATCTACAGTAGATCTAGCCTTATTGCTAATCCCTACAATAATGGGGAAGGAAGAGTTTTTTAATGAATGTACCACTTCAGTAAACCAATCAAGTGCTGTTTCCCAGCATTCTTGTCTGCATATACAGTTTCCCAGTATGCACTTTCAAGTCAGCAGTTTTCAAAGTTAAAAGGAAGAAGTTTAAGTTCTACAAGAAATATAGTCTTAAATATATATTTCATATTAATCCTAGCCTAACCTAGAATGCTCATTGCATCAGCAAATGTAAACCAAATCTGCATCTTAACATTTGTTGCTTTCTGAATGTTCTCTCCCTATTCATGGTATTCACCCAGCAGCCTTTGAGATGCGTACACTTCCAACAAAGCAGATGACAGGTCTTTTCAATGCCCTCTCCCCCTTCTCCATCCGATATATTAATCTCAGTAAACAAATAGCTGGGGATAGGTTCAGAAATGGAAGTCTTTAACCCTGCTCATTCTCCCCTAAGCAAGACAATTATCAGATATTAAGCTGACAGTTTAGCAATAATAAACAACTTTATGTTAGTTTTTAGGAAGATGGTTGTAGAAACAGAATTAAGGGGGGGAAAAAAGAAAAGAAAGACTTAAATGATGAAAAGTCAAAGTATTCTGATTATTCTTCCAGCACACAATCCTATCTGCAAGTCTGGCAAGCACTACCTTTTTACCAGTCAGACTCTTCACTTTCACAGAAAAGCACTCCATTTATACACCCTGAGGTAATACAGGCCCAGAAGCCATGATAATGGGCAGACTGATGGTAGGGAATACAGAACATATGTGTTCGAACACATCTGTGCATCACAGCTTATTGAATTACACACTTCAAACGTAACGTGGCATTTGGCTAAAAAGAACAAAGCCAAACAATAGACAAGAAACCACAATAATACTATTTCAATTCCATTTTCACTTACCTCCAAAAGAAGCTGAAATCCTTCTCTTTTCTTAATTTCTTCCACAAGATATCTGTAATCAAAAACACAGGGGTTTAAACATAGAACAATGCAGTACATACAGGGAAGAAAAAAGGCATTGAACACTTTTTTTTACTCCTTTTCTTTCCCAAATCTCCTTGAAGAAATCACAGAGTTAAACCTCATTTCTACCTGCTGTGAAAATATAGTAACTATCAGCTCCTAGAAACAAATGAAGGATACAGCAAGCCAACGAGCACTTAGGAGAGGCCAAATTCTGTCCTCAGGCACAGATTTTCAGTGGACCACATGGCACAAATTGATCCTATTTACATCAGGCTGTGAATTTTTCTGATGCAAATTTCCATTTATATTTCCACCAACTCCTCAACCTCTTTTCCTCAAGTGCCGATGCTGTGCTGCTGTCTTATTCCCTGCTTACTTTTACAACCCTTGCACTACAACTATTGTCACCACTATCCTGCAGTTTTACCCAGAATTTAAGTTCCCATCAGTTTTCTGCTACTGTCCTTGTTCCACATTTTATATAACAATGTGCACTTCCATTCAATGAGACTTCACAATAATCCCTGGACATCCTTTTCTAACAATGCACTAAAATAGATTTAAAAAAAGAAAGAGAATAAGAAGGCATTTAATAGAAAGGCCAATTTAAATTAAACATTTGGATCCAAACAGCATCAATTTTTTAAAAACATGACCTCAACTTTGATGTTGGCAGATATCAGTCCAGAGTTTTGAGGCAAGGAGGACAGTTTGACATAGCGAATGCTTCTCAGAATCACAGGAGTTGGAAGAAACCTCTGGTGAAGGGACCCTAAAGATCATCAAGTTCTAACTCCTCTGCCCTGGGCACAGTTGCCAACCATGACATCAGGCTGCCCTGATCAACCCCCTCCTAAAGCAGGTTGGCTTCTCCCATTACTGTCCATCCGTCCCGTCCCGTTCCCCCCCCCCCCCAAATCTTTTCCAAGGAAAACTCCAAAGAAACTCCCTCAAGTTCAGACAGTATTGCTGTGTCAATATATTTTTATCTTCTATACAAAGGTGCTCTCTAACAGCAACGAAATGAAGACTATCAAGCTTCAGATTTTGTATAAGCCTGTTTTTCTGTTGCATTCATTCAGTATTTTCCTGCCTGCAGCTGCCTTGCTGGTCATCACAGAAATAATTCCTTTATTCACTACCAGAGGGAAAAAAATACTGTCAGAATAACCCCCCTGGTCCTATTTACACCCCTGAAATCTGCCTTCACAGGGACACTGCCAGCACAGCTGTGTCTGCAAAGCCTGAGGCGCAGCAGAAACAGATTGGCTAGGGAGAGAGTGAACAATACTCTAGATGGTACATTTTCCAAACTGAGCATGGGGACTTGCCACATTGTTTATCATTAACAAGTACTGTGCATATGACTCGTTATTACCTCTTAGCACACATTCCCATAAAATGACTGCTGTGACAAAATGCCAATTCCCAGCAGCACAGCTCTATGACTTGCACTGAACTGTGCATGGCTGAGATGCTTCTCTTCATTGTAAGAAGCCTGGGATCTGGGTGTTCTCTGCCCTGACCATTCAGACCCTGCTGTTTATGTTCACACTACTCCTTAGGTTGGAAGCGAGGCATACTGAAAGGCAAGCATGAGGATAGCTCATGGCTCTAATACTGACCCCTGGTGGACATCACTCATCTCTACCCAGACATTGAGCCACTGACCATTATTCTTTGGGTACCATCTTGCAATCGGTTCTTGCCCACTGAACAGTCCACACATCAAATCCATATCTTTCCATTTTGGAGAGAAAGATGTGTGATGATGTCAAAGGCCAGACAGATCACACTGCTTCCCCAGTTTCCACCTTCCAACCCATTTGGTTGAGGGATGTATAATGAACATTTTCCTGTGACAACTGTGAGAAATAAGTTGTTTAGTACTTCTGTCTATCCTTGTCTGTTTTTACCAGCCTGTCTGTATTGCTCACTGAGGGGTGGCATTCCTTCTTGGACTTTCTTTTTCTGGTTGACATACCCGTAGAAGCCTTTCTACTGCGCATTTGTGTAGAGGCACTTCAGCTGAGTAACCAGCCTTGTCAATTTCTTGGTAGGTAACTCCTTTGAATTATTTCCCTTGAGTCTAGTCTTGTCTTCTTCTATTGCCTCAGTTACACCTGACTCAATGTCATAAGATTTCAGTCGCACTGCAGTGTTGACAGCACATCTCAGGGCAGCAGGCTGAGAGCCTCCACTAGCACCCTGTCCCTCTAACCTAGTTCTGTCATCCTATATCTTATCGTAGGCAAGCTTGCTATTACTTCCCTCCCCCTTTAAACCTAGTTTAAAGCTCTGCCAATGAGCCCTGCTGGTCTGAGTCTGCACAGAGTCTGTAATTCATCTGATGGCAGTGGAGCAATTTACTCTGCATCTTTCCATGGCTGACAGTGGAATTTTATTATCACATCACATTTGGAGAAAGTCAGAAGGGCTTGAATCTCAGTGAGGACTGGCATGCACAGAGAAGTGCTATTTGCTATGATTAAACCTTATGGAAAGTGAGGGGTGGGAATCTTCATTGAAAGCAGACATACGTCTGTTAGAAGTAGGTGTCATTAAAAGAAGAAAAAGGCAGAAAAACTGCAATATGCTGAAACAAAGTGCAGAGTTGGGTAGAGTTATATCTAATATATTAAGGTTATCTATTATATTGAAAACATGATTCACCTCTAAACCAACAAGAAATTAATGGAATAGCCAATAAGTAAAGTTTGATGCAACAGAAATACATGACTGCAATTACTTTAAAACCTTTGCTGTTCTAGCTATCCACAGAAAACAAATCTTGCTCTCAAGTTGTGCAGCCAACGTATCAATTCCAGAATTAATCCAGGTCTGTGTTCAAAAATACTGAAATTCTATCTTAGGAATAGCAAAGTAAAATCTACTGTAACAAATCAGGATAAAGACTGCACAGCTGTTGGGTAGTTAAAAAACCTAGCATCATGCCCAGTAAACCTGATGTCTCAGCTGCAAAGTGCTCATGTACATGCAAACTCAAGATAGCAATGCAGTTACTACAAATAATATACTTCATCAGATAATGACTAAAAATTAATTTTCTTCTTAAAGCAACAGAAAAATAAGAAACAAAAAATCCCAGTCACTCCTTAGAATTGAACTCAGCTTCGAAGCCGAATCCTAACATTTAAAGAAAATATTGATCTGAGAGAAGTCATTAATCACTCTGCACTCAGTCAGATGACTTTGGCCAGTGACCTTCATAAGGCTGAATTCTACTACTGATAATGGAATGAATTACAGACTCTGTACAGACATAGATCAGTACAATGCTTCAGAACAAATACAAGGTGCAATCTAATCAGAAGACTTTAAGGGCATATAATCAGTAAAATAATTAGTGGCTTTGAAGAAATCAGAGAGAATAAGGCCAGAGCTCAACCGGGCTTTTCTGGTTTTGATTCTCTCTTTACTCTTTCCTAATCCACTCTGGGTTTAAGCCATGAATGTTTCAACTTCTCCTTTAAGTGACTTTGTTAAAGTGACACTATTTCTCTAATTTTCAGTAAACATTAAGTTCTATTAAACTTGGTGGCTTATATTAAAAATAAAATGTCAATATGATACGGATGACTGCCTTCAAATACTAATGATGTATTATAGTAGTGCACTATAGGTATATACATATAGGTAGCCCAGGAGTGAGCAAAGATTTCAATACAGTTCATTCTGTGCACATTCTGAATAATCACAGTATTTTAAGTGAATTGTTTTTAATGGGCCGTTATTTCAATATTATCTCTTCCATTAGAAGACAAAACAACTGGTGTACAGGAGTTTATTCCCAAGACATCACCACTTTAGAAACACCTTCCAGCCAGAATTTCATGAATTTCACTTGTGAAATCCAGTTGTCAGACCAAAAAAGTAGTAAAATTGGAAAGAAAAAAAAATAAACACTAACTAACCACCATAAAAGAAAGACATTTCAGCTCCTAACTGAACATACTATAAGCATTAAGAATTTCAGTAAACCTATGAAAGTAAGCATGCATTACCTCAAAAAGAAAATCTGCCTCCATCTTCATGTAGTTCTACTACTTTCTAACATTAGCAGCATCCTTGTATGAATTTCCCCACAAACATCACTGGCATTCTGTGTTTTTTAGTCATGAGGAATTAAGTGAACAAAAGAATGGCAAATTTACTTCTTGCTAGACATGGCTCAGAGCCTGGCACACGGTGCTCCTTTTGCATTAATACTAGAACATACAGTTACAAGTTAGAAGGAGGAGGGAACACTGGTAAGCATTACCCTATACCTGGATCATATATCACAAACGTTAAACAACATAGATTGATAGAGGAATTCACTTTTTCTAACCAAAATCTATCCCTATTTTTACAAGGAATAATTACTATTAAATATTTTAGCAAATTTAATCACACTAATTATTATTGCTATTGCTACTAATTTGTTCTTCATGTTATGTAGAAACAAAAGGGGGAAAAAAGTAACAGTTTGGTCTGTTCTAAGTTAAGAAGTGTCAGCACTGTCAGCATTTCAGACAGTCAATGAAACAGACTATTCAAAAACATGGAGGTACCTAGCCAAAGCCAGTGCTCTGTTCACTCTCTCCTCAAGGCCTGTGGTTCCCAATGCTTTCCACATGAGCCAGAATTTGAATGCATCTGGACGTCTGCTGCACTGAATGGACTTGTCACCAGTGTCATAGCTGACATCATAGAACTTGTCCTGCTGGAACAGGTATGCAGCCTTGGCAGAGTAACACTTCTTCAGGAGGCCCTATTGGAAACACAACAGAGGTTTAGATAAGAAAGTATTAAAACTTGTTATTCTCACAAGCCAAATCCTTTTTCCTTGTCTGAATCAACCGCTCTGTTAAAAAAAAAAAAAAAAAAAGTGCATGTGCAAGACACCATTCACCACTCGTTATGCTTTAGAATGCTGGATTAGCCTGAACCCACTAAAGTCAGTGCTGACCACAAGAAAACATTGCAGGTTGAAGAGCAATTTTGCCTCAAATCTCAAGAAATAGCTGATGTGGGTACCATAGAAACAGCTCCCCAAAGACATAAACATATTGGGAAGAAAGAGAAACAAAAGCCTGCGTCCACTGCGATAGCCTGTAGGTCAAAAAAAGAAAAAAAAACAACAGACTGAGGAGTTTCTTACAGTTTCACAAATGGCTCAATATATTTCTTCTTTCCTTAAAGGCCAAAGAACTTTACACGTGGCACAGTTAGTTGTGTGAAGAATGTTTTAGCCCCAAACCAAAAGGTTTAGCTTTTAGCAGTAGATGGTTTCTGCGTATCTAGCGTTTGTTATCTGACTGATTCAGGGGAAATACCAGTGACAGATGAGTGTAATGCCAATTTCTGTCTCCATTCACAGATCAGACAATTTGAAAATAGCAAGTACTTTAGTGTACCTTGATTAAGGATTACTAATGAAATTATTTTTAGTCAGCAGTCTCCAACAGTCCCCCAAATTCTAAAAAGCTGTCTAGGCAGAGATGACCAGCAGAAAACAGACAAAAAAATGAGTACCATGACATGTTCCAGCAAAGAACAAAGCCAAGAAAGCAAAGAGGCTATTTTAGGTTTAAAGGTGAGGGGGAGGAAAAGAGACAAAGGAGTAGCCATTGACTGAAGAAAGAAAAGTAGAGAGAAGAGCTAGCTTCCCTAGAAGGGAAGTTAAAAGGTCAGAGGTGACAATGGCCCTCCAATAAGCCCAGGAGACAGGCAGGGTCATAGATTTGTCAGGGATATTACATGTGGGTGAACAGAAACATCTCTAAAATAATACTAGAATAGAAATTCAGGTGAGGTTAAAAACATGGCTATAGCATATGACTGAAATTCAGATGTCTATGTAAGAGAACTAGAAATCCTCCATACAACAGAGAACAATAAACAACAAGGGCACAACATGGCAAAAGATGCTACGCTATCTAGTGAACACCATAATTCATTTTTTAATTGACCACCACCCCTCAGTTTGAACCAACTGAACCAACTTCAGCCATTTCTCTGTGTTGGCTGCAAGTCTGAATTCCAAATGGTGGTAGCTGACATCACTTTTAAAGAAGGAGGTAGTTCTTAATTTATTTGCAATATACTGCTGGTAACTTTAGTAGTAGTAAAAAAAAGAAAAAAGATTCAAGATAGAGAACTCCAAAAATATATGAAAATTGGAAATATTCAATTGGCACATACAGAATAGTCTCCTTCTGACCCTGCTTTTTCAATTCCCTCTGTCAATACTTTAAAGAAAACATAAACAAAAGAAACCCTGCACATCCATCTGAATATCACAAAGAGAGAAAAACAACATGAAGAATTCTTCTCCACTGCTTCTGCAGGGATTCAACTTTCTGTTAGTGTCCTACTCTCCTGGTGCTTCCAAAACTGACAGGACATGCTGGTGTGATGGTCTTTTTCTATCTGTTTATCTTACTACTAATAAAACACACTCAAGAAATCCTGCTGCTCTCTCCAGAGAAAAGCAGTTACATCCCTGGCATATCACTGGATCAGATAGGAGAAAAAACAAAAATTAATGTCTTGTGGAAGGGAAAGGGAGTATGCCAGACCAATGCAAGAAGCAAGGTGGAAGAGTAAGGGAAAAGCTACAGGGTAGGGTACAGGACAGAAGGAAGCAAAAAAAAAAAAAAAAAAAATCCAAGACAAATTTCCTGCTCAAGAAAGCAGTTACTCTGTGATCACTGTTGATGCAAAAGTAAAAAAGCTCAAACATGCTGTGCACATTAAATGTTATCTCTGTTTTCCCAGTCAAATGAAGGAAAAGTATAGAAGAACTGAAAGAAAATGTATGCCTTCTAACTCAACGCTGCCATTTGCAAGATGACATCTATGACTGTCCACACAGCAACTGAGTTGCTACGTTAGCTCAGAAGAATCTCAAACATTTCATTAGAACTGACTTATTTGCAAGTTTGAGATTCTTCCTTCCTTCAGCATCTTTTATCTGTTTCTACCCTTTGATCAGAACTAATTGTAGTGCTCTATCTTATACTGAGGCTGTTAAAAGTTTCAGAAAAAGGAAGTGTACTTTCATAAAAGCCCTACTCCACAAGTAAGTTGCTAAGAGTTCTTGGTTTTGATCAAGTCTAGACTGTTGTTATATGTTGTAATTAACTGCAAATAAATAAATAGTTATTGATATCAAAACCAATACATACCCAATCCAGTTCCTTACAGTACATAATTCAAAACATCTTTTCCCTCATTGAACACACTTATCTACTGCACATCTTCTGATATCTTTCCATTTCCATTGCCAGTAATAAGTAAATTTGAATTTTATTAATACAACATGAATAGCTTTTTCTCCCAAGACAAATATCTTCCTGATTTCATTCATCTAAAGCAAGAAGGACAATCTTTTGAGTGGCGTATTTGAAAATTATCAAAAGCAGTGCACTACAAAAGGCCACCCCTGTAATTCACTTCAAGAGGTAAGAACGAGCTCTCAGCAGCATCAACCCCAAATAGAAATCGTGGGAAACAGAGTGCTTCCTGCAGCTGCTCCAGAAAAAAAATATAACAAAAAAATCAGTGAATTAGATATCTTTGTGACACTGCTAATTATGTGGAAGAGATTACACTGTAGGTATGTCTAGCAGAATCAATAACATTCTGTGCTAAACTGGGACTTCGTTAGCTACATTCTTTTAGATTTTATTTTTAAGCAATAAGTGAAAATTCTGTTCATTCCCCAGAATGGATGACTAATTATCTAACCTAGATCTGAAGAGTCACAGAACTTTGGTATTTGTGATAAATATAAGTTATCTATATACATGATAATAATCATATTTATATAGATTACAGCAAGGATCCAAAGACCTGAAGGACTTTATTTGGAGTAACTGTGAGGTTTTAAGGGATTATTGCACAACCTCAGGCTGATTCATAGCATTTTAAAAACATACAAGAACAAAGTACACTCACTAAATTTTTCAGAGTATCAGTCCCTCTAGCTCCGTGTTTAAACAATCATTGCAATTCATATCAGAGCAATACAAGTCTGTTCTGAGGAAGTATATCTTGTCACAAAAGTGATGAAAGTTATTCAGGTTATGGCAGTGAAGAAGTGATAGCTGTGCATTTCTTGAGTGATTTAAGCACTGAGAAATTATTGTCATTGATCTGATCCCTTTCAGAGTACTAACCAATCTCTCTTTCCCCTTGATGAAAGGGCTTCTTTCTTCTAATCAAGTCAAACATGTATTTCTTTCTTTTTTTAATCTGTCTTCTTTGGAAACCACTCCAACTTTGCTTCATGAAGGCTGGAAGATTTCCTTACTCAACATTTCCCTGCAGATTGTTTTTAAAAAGTCTGTACAGGAATGTAAATACAGCATTTCATTCTAAAAATCTAGCTGCAATGTCTTCAGATTATCAGCACTGCTAAAGTACATAGCTTCACTGATGCTATGGGGCAAAAAAGAAAAAACATGATAGTGATAATAATAATCCAGTATAATAATACAACCAAACCAGTCACTATTGCTGCTGCTAGTAGGAAAACAGGATGTTACTACTCTATCAGATCATTCTCTCTCAAGATCGTGATGATCATCCGTTGAAACAAAGTAAAATACCAAGCCTGGTCTTTACATTAAAAAAGAAAAAGACCTGAAAGGCTTTATTTTGTCCACTTAAAATCACCCAACTCCAATGCTAATATTATCTTCAGTTTCCAAACGCACCTTTAATCAAATGAACAGTCAAGCCTACAAAACTTCCTTAATGAAGCTTTCAAAAGGGAGCTAAGGCTTGATACAACAGCAGCAGTTAATGTCAGTGCTTAACATTTTTCTGGTCCAACTTCCTGAAGAATTCATCATTTCAGAAACTAACCTCTTGAGGCTACTTGAACATTTACTAACAGAGCGATCTGTGCTAAACTCCTCCAGCTCCCACCTCAGCATCCTACTCATAGAGCGAGGGGATTACGTTCATATTTACATGTTGACTTCATCTGTGACAACAGACATAAGTAATTAAGGAGCAGTAGAAAACGATTCAAAATAAGAACTGAAAACACATCCTTCCCTATTCATACCAGTGTGCGAACAGTATTTTTAATGGTAAAAAAAAAAAAGAGACTGGATCCAACTCCCTGCTCTGGATCTGGTATAGAGGGGATCAAAGTGAAGCAAGGTCCTTCTGGTGAAGTGTCTTAAACATGCATTTCATTTTCCTTAGTGACTGATAAGAAAGCACCCCAAATTAGCACACACTCATGTTTGCATACAAGGTTTACACTGCTTCATATACAAAATGCTTAAATGCCACTTTTCAAGGAGTTAAACACAATGTAAGACCCTCCTTTCCACTTTCTGGACCACGCCACATTGTACTACAGAATCTGATTGTATGATCAGTAACACTTTTGTTATTTCACCTCTCAACTGCCTAGGATTGATCTCTACAAGAACTTCTGACACAACACTGCATAGCTGTGATTTAGAAGTTGAATAGGAGTGCTCTAGCAGATATTACACTCTACGCAAGAATACAAAGGCTATCAAAGTCCTGGAGTTGGAACAGCGTTTATAAAGAGACTCTAAATGCCAACACTGATAAAATATTTCATTCCTCTCCATTTCTTTCCTCTCTCTTCCAGAGAAGTTTCCAGTATGCAGCCTAAGTAGTGTAATCATTACCTGAGGCTACATCTATCTATATATTGGGCCTAATTAGTTAAAAATACAGTGCTGAGTTCTTCCAAAGCCTGCAACTTAGAGACTACATTAACCTTAGTCAATAACTCTATTATGCTGCTTTTTCAGTCTGGAATAAAGATAAAGTGACTGACAGATAGTCCTGGAACCTATCCCCTTTAATTCCACAGACCCCAGCCTAAGGAAACGAGGAATTACGTCTTGTTCTTCTATCATGTCTTGCCCACAACTTGGAATTAACTGCTCCAAGAGAGCACTGATTAGTATCCGTGCCCTTTAGACCTCATCTGTTCTTACTACCAAGAGTTAGTAATCAGTTACATGGACAGATAACTCACAGCTGAATAGAAACCATCAGCTGTTTTGACAGGAACTTTTAAAACTAATTTACAGACCACGACCACAAAACAGCTATGTAAACCTCAGGGACTTCATATCCTCATGATGTTCAGTCATTGATAAAGCCAGGCACAAGCTAAAACTCTCATGGTAACAATGTACATAAGCTTTTGCAGGGCTGAATTTGTAGTGGTACTTTAAATAACCATTTACTGTTTTCTTTATTGAGATAGAAGAATTCCATAAAGACTCATCACATTGCAGACTCAAGTCATTTTTTTGCAACACTTGTCATCAGAGCTTTGTTTGCTTGCTAGATCTTTTAACTACTCATAGTTTTTAGAAAGCCTAAATTACCCTAGTGCTGAAGAGGAAAAACAGGTAGATTTGAGAAAACAAGGCTCAGCATCTTTAATCGAATGTAACTCCCACAACTATCCTTCTACTTTCTCACTCTGGTGAACCCACGTAAGAAGATGCAAAGAGTAGTTCTGTGTAGATGGCACTCTTTAAACAATGACACAGTACTACTGCAGACCCAATGGCTATGGCTATTCTAAAGACTTTGACTTGGTGTTTAAGCACTGCAGACCCAGCCAACAAAATACTCAATTCTGAATGTAAATCATATACAGAAGCTAACTAGGAAGGGCACCAGCTGCAAAGTTTGACCAGTGATGTGTACAGTGACTTGTATCTGTTTGGTCCTGCTCTCTTAATTTTTATTAATTTAGTGAAATGGAAAATAGTATCAGTTAACATCATTCAGCCTTTGTACTGCAGTATAGTAAAGTTGGCTAACAATTGTTTTCTTCTTATCTCCACTTCTACATTACAGCAATGACATTCTACTACATTTAAAAAGGAGAAAGAGAAAAAAAAAGATGGAAAGACTTACAGAGTTGTCTTTCACCAGAAGAGCACAGCACTGAATTCCTGCCAACAGCATTTTGTGGGGATTCCAGGCAACAGAATCTGCCCTACAAATTCACAAAGGGAGAAAGGTAAGAAGGCACAGAAATTGCACCTATAATCATTGATACTCGAGTCAAAACTGCTTAAATGCATTCCAAGTAGATAAATCAGATTTTCCTTCTACCCCCACTCACTCTCCCCCCCCCCCCCCCCCCATAAGTAATAATAGTACATATTTTGGAAAACACAGCTTTCGTAGGGGCCATTAGGCCACATTTGTCCATCTCAGTCCCTGATAAGAGTGACCATGAACTAAAACTGCCTTACCTTTGAATACCATGAAGAAGTCTGCGATGCTTTCTTGATATCAAAGCTGAGCCGCCCCAAGAAGCCTGTTGGAAAATTTACAGAGCCAAGGCAATGTTATTTTTATAAAATATTTAGTGCTCTCTGATAATGCTTCATTTAGTTACTAGTTGCCATGTTTTACCACATTTTAAATTTTTAAATCTCAGGTCATCTAAGTACCAGGAGTGTGGTCTAAGCATCAGTGAGGCATTCTCTGTAGTGAGTAGCTCTCCACTGAAACTCTTATATCCTCTTATCTATTCCAGATGCCTATCTTTGAGTGACATCTTTTGCACATGTCTCTCTCCATGCACTCCAGAAGGAGCCTAAACAAGCATATATCACACTCAACTTTTGGATACTTCAAGTTAAGGAAGGTGACTCTCCTCTGTGAATCTGAAAGTACCAGATATCACCCACCAGCTGCAGTATATCTCCAGTTCTCAAACAACATTTATCTAGGGACACATACTGTATTTGAGAAATTATACTAAGCTTGAAAAAAGAATTATCAGCATTTATGAAAAAAGAATCCACATATAGGTTCCTGTGAAATAAGCAACACTCCTCAGAGATGCAGAGAAGGCATCAGTCCACAAAACATCCAGATTCAGCTTATTGGAAAAAAAAAAAAAAAAAAAAAGCCCAACAAAAACACACATATTTTGGGTTAATGAAGAAGAAAAAAATCACCACTGTGAAGATTCTTGATTTAAGTATGGTAAACTCATGCTTGCTTGGCTTTGGGTAGTTTTGGGGGTGCATGTGCTTCTTGTATCTTTGCTTGGGTTTTTCTTTATTGCTTGAGAAAAACAGCTGTGAAAGCTAATCAATGAATCGTTAGCTTCACATGCTATGCATTAGGAGTAAGATCTGCTGTCTTTAGGAAGCAAGCACAATAAAGACTCGCAAGGGAAATGAACAGTTAATAACCTGTCCTAATACATGCATATCATTAGTTCTCATTAATGCGGTACACAAACACCACATCATATTTTAAGCTGCCATGCTCACAATATTCTTGCTGAGAATAGGGCTGCTGTTCTATCTATATTCCACAGTATAAGAGAGAAAATTGTTTGTCTCAACTAACTCCACATTATGCTTATAGCAGAACCATGATGTAAAACTGGGTTACCCCAGACAAGATGATCTTCCTATTTACTGACAAATTTTGCTCTTCTTGTTTAAAAAAAAAAAAAAAAAAAAAAAAGCCAGAAAAGCCATGAAATTATTCCCCAATTTTCACAATTCATAATCAACAGAATAACATACAATAATTCTTTTAAAAATTTGCAACCAAAGTATTTGAAAAAGTTGGCACTTTCAAGCTGTCCTATAAAACAGAACTAGAAAAGCTCACAAGAGCTCGTCCCACTGTGCCCTACCTCCAGAGACAGGATCAGCCATCTCACTTCCGCCAAACATTCAACATTTGTATAGATTAATAAGCAGTGAACACACCCAGCTTGTGAACAGTGGCAAAATGAAAGATAAAGTGCAGAGAGACATTAACAACTGCTGCCTAAGCAACACTGTTGGCACTTCCATCTGCCCTCATTTTAAAAACTGCTTCTAAAGATCTGGATAAGAAGTATGTACAATTAACAAATGTACAGGTAGAACAGAGGTGTAGTTAGAATGGCATCTTACAGGTTCATAATTAGAAAGATTATCATGGTGGAAAGAGACAATCAAAAATGAAATGCTCACACACGTCCTAGGCTCACAGTAGAAAACTCCAAAAGGAGGGATCTGCAGAAAGAAACCCTTCCCCCCTCGAGTCAGCCTTTAAATGGAGTCTAGAAGTGCAGCCAGGCTCCACCCCTTCCATCACACAGCTGAATCGCCTTCACCTGTGCTCCATGGCTGACTCAGTGCTTGCCTCAGGTGGTCAATCAGTGCTTCAGGCTCTGACTCAACAGTTTCCATACAGGTACAATAGCACTGCAGGGCTGTGCATCTCCATCACCTTTCAATGTGTCCTGGAGCCACAGTACCATTAGGTAAATTTGTGCTTCATGTTTATTTGCCCAGTTCACAGATGAAGTGCTTAGGGATACAAGGCCAGGAACAAGAAAGCACCTATGAAGATTGAGAATCACTGGCTTTGCCTGTTTTTAAAGAGTAATGGAGCTTGCAAGACTTTGCCACCTGATTTGTGTTTAACCATCAAAAACCTACAGAATGAAATGTCGGTCCTAAACACTGTTACCTCTGCTATCTATAGTGACCATGGGAAACACATGGTCTTCTTTTCCTCCTTGCAGCAGCTCAGCCATGTCCAACCCGCAACCTGAAAGTTGCAAGAGGCCTGGCCAAGCCCACCCTATGGCCATCACCTACCCTGTGCCATCATGGTGGTGGCTCTGAGCACTGAGCGGCCCAGCCCAGCCCCAAGCACACACCTACTGCTCACAGCAACCACACAGCAGCGTGTGATTGGTACTGCCTGAAACCAGGACATGGGGAAGGTGCAGTGCAGTGCCCAGTTATGGCAAATAATTGTGTGCATAGGATTGGCTGAAGAATGACTTATTTGTAAAACAACATATGACCAGTAGCTCGTAACAAGCCCTTCTTGAAATGTAGCTGGTGGATATAGCAGGTGGAGCACCAAGCAGAAAGGATTATTTTATGTATTTTTATTCAAAGAAGCTGTCAAGATATTTATCCCTATCCGCAAAAGCTTAAAGCTGCTAATCTGTGATGCACTGCAAACATCGTATCTTTTTCTGGAGATCTGCTATCTAGCCAACATTTCCAAGCTCTATGTGCAGCTGATTATTTCAGCTTAAACCTAGAGCAATAACGTTATTGAACTGTAACCTAGTTTTTCCACTTTCTTCTCCCAGCTGTCAAGATCTCAAATTTCTAATCCTGTCCTCCCACTGCCTCTTGTAGTTTTATGTTATCTTCATTTTTAGCTAGTGGACTCTTTTTCATCTAAGTTATTAATAAAAATAATGGGTAACATAACCTAGGATATATATTTCCTGAAGTTCACTCAAAATATCCTTCCACTTCAGCAGTGAATCACTGATGGCTGCTCTCTGAATATGATTTTCCAGCCAGACTTTCATTCACTACCACAGTTGCAGTTTTGTAGCATTTCTCTGGCCTTCTTATGATAATTTCCATGAGTTATTGCTAATATACACTAAAGTTAGCAGCTTCTTCTCCATGCATGAGGCTAGAGAAGGAAGGTACACTGACCAACCTAGATGGGCACATTTGGTTTCTTTAAATCCAGCTGAGAATAATACAGAACACATGAAGATCAGCTGTGTCCCATGCAATGAGAAAATGATTCTTTCATAGGTAAGAAATCACAGCAAACAATGGAAGTCACTGGGTGTTTGCAATGTGATTAAACTAACTACCTAAGCATGGATAATAGGTTAAAACAGCATTTCTGCTCTGGTTAGCCATGGGAAAAACTGTAAAGGACCAGCAGGGAGGTAACACCCCTGTGTTTAAAGCTATATACGTACACAATACAGGACATACAAAAGTGCTCAAGCTTGAGTGCATATTGATGACATCAAATAACTAATAAAGAATGACCTCATAGATGTATTATAGATTATTGCCATGACCATTGTATGAATGCTGCAATGCGTACAGAATACCGTCTCTGCATTGGCTGTTGATTGACTGCTGAGAGTTTGGGCTTATTGATATTTTCAAAAAGTTTTTCTTAACCTCCTTTTCAGGTCTGTATCCATGAAAGAACTCACCTACTGTTTTTGACTTTACTAAAATTTATCTTCCTGAAGCCTGCTGATTTTATGTTGATTTTCTCCTTTTGCCCTTTCTTAGGATCATGAACTTTATCATTTCATATTTAATGAGAAGAGTCTCCCTGAGGCAAATATATCAATTTTTTGTATCAGAAGATATTCTGAAATGAGATAAAACAGCGTAAATCTGGAAATAATGCCACTGACATTTCATGGAATAAAACTGCACAGACAGTTCTTGAGATCATTTGTGGTAGATAATCCTGATTCTCATCAGTGATAAGAGTCTTAAATTAAAGCTTTCTTTGTTTTTAAATGATTGTTTTAATGGTACTGTATCTTTTTTTCCTCCAAAGTTATGGCAGTAACTCACTGACAAAGAAGCAGTACTTGCCATAAAAATGAGACCTCACAATGTGTAAAGCATTGAACTGGAAGATAAATCTTCCAGAGGAATGCAGACCTTCAAAGATTTAATATAATGTTCTTGACTATAAGGCTAGAGGGAGGTTGGCTTGCTTGAAAGTAAAGAAAAAAATAAAATCAAACCTTTCATTGTGTTTCTTACATGCTATTTCTGAATGGCAGATGCTTGATCCCTACTTTTTCTATATTATTCCAGTAAATCTATTTCAAATACTGCTGTGAGTGAAGAAAAGGTCACATTTACAAATTACAGTTTGATCTTTTTATCATAGCATGTTTGTATATATAGATATGCCTTACGTCACTTACATACAAAGCTTTCAGTCTCTTCCCTTTATTCCATTTCCATACAGTTACAAACTTTAAACAGAAATAAAGAAACAATGCGCTCAGTTCTTGACAGTTCACCTGAGCGTGAATTAAAAGATGGACAAAATACTGACAGAACTCCCAAGAAAGGCTGAGAATTCATTGAAAGGTTAACAACATGAATCACATCCTAAGAGAAAAATGAGTCTTCAAAACCATAAACTACCCAGTTTATGGCTGTACATTTGTTATTCTGTGGTAATCAGTTAACATCTGACAGTCACTTTTAAAATAGAAAATTAACTAAGGTATTCATTGACATTTTCCTTTTAGCTTAATGAGAGGTAAAGTTGAAGGAAAATTTAGTTTTTTACAGAACACCAGCAACTGCCTATGTAGTACAGTTCAGAATATTGCCCCAGTATACACACCTAGCTTTAGTTATCCAGCTACAGGGAGTAGATTAGGAAAGTGCTCATGGTTCTCCCATGGCCACTGGAGATGCCTCCAGCAGTTTCACCTCCTAGATGAGTATTCCAACAGAGATTTGGAATACACCCATCTCTTCACTGACTGAACAGATACACAAGAGACTAGCACCTAACATGAATTCTTCACTTCTGCTGTAAAACCTGCTGGGTAATCCTCACCAGCACAAAATGAGGAAGAGGCTCTGCAGACACTTGAAATATTAGGACTAAATTCTATATCTATCTTTGCCTCCAAGTCAATAAGAAAACTCTTTTGACTCACACGTACCAAGACTTAATTCAAGTCTGAGACAGTTTTATATGAACTGTCTTTTTTTCTTTAACTGCTTAACATAAAACACTTGAAAAATTTAAAGCAGATCTAAAAAAATCTCTTCTTAAGTTGCTCCAGATTCTCTCATCATTCCTTGGATTTTGGTATAGATATTCTGAGTTCATGGCATTGTCACTTCAAAAAGAATGCAGTTTTAGAAAATATGAAGAAGCCTAGTTTTAGAAAAACACACTTGCAGCTAGCTCTTTCAGGTAATGAATAGTCTCAACGATTATTCCAAAGAGGTTCATGAACTGATTTTATAATGCCAGTAATAAAAAGGGTCAGTGATTATTCCAAAAGGGCTCACAAATCAATTTTAAAAATCTAGAACTAAAAATAAAAAGAAATGAGACAAGAAAAATTTCCGAACAATTTAGGAAACCTTAAGGGGATGTACAGGAAACTGAAATCTGAAACTGAAACAGAATAATTTCTGGTTGGTTGAAGCCGAAATACCTTTATTTCAACCTGTATGAATGATGCACCACCTTTCTAATGTGTCCATTCCCCAAAGGAATGTAGTTCTTTTAGTATATAGTCATCCTTGAAGCATTTTGGGTTGTAGCAAGAAGGAAAAAGAAATTGATTTTAAAATCATCTGAAACTAGCATGACGATGACAAGAAAGTCTTAACTGCATGACACAACCAAATCATTTGCTGACATTCAGCATAGGCAGCAGAGACAAATAAGGATATATATGTCTGTTTTCTCTGGAAAAAAAAAGTTAATTAAGTCCAACTTACTACAATACAGAAACATCAACAGTCAAAGAAAGATATGAATTGTAAAAGAAAAAGCAATGCTAAAGAAAAGCACACAGTGTCCAAACTCACGTCAACATGAAGCCAGAGGTGATGCTTTTCACAGATATCAGCAATTTTATCCAGAGGATCAAATGCTCCCAGTACTGTTGTGCCTGCAGTAGCACAGACAAGAAATGGTGCTGACCCCTGCAATAGGATTCAAAACAAAAAACTGTCATTCACACCATTCATTTCTCTCAGTATATATGGAAAGCTGAAGTATAACAAGGTCATGAAAAGTAGGACAAAGATGTGACAGTCTACATTTTAGTTTCCCAGCACTGAGAGCCTCATAAAGAAGGTCCTGAATATAAAAATGCTGACTCTTAGAAAAAAGAAAAAAAAAAAAAAGGCATTTCCAGCTAACACCATCACAGGGCAGACTGCTCTGGTTCAGACAGCTTCAGACTGTTTTGACAGATGCCACTTTTATCAAGATGAAAGCACTCTGGATATTTAACATCCCTTTTTATACACTGATTTTCATTTCTTGATCTTCCATATTTTACCATCCAATTTCCTACCATTATGCCAAACACAAATCAAGCTTTTAGTACAGCCAGCATGCTACCCCTGCTGGGAAATGACTCATGCCTCCAGGGACTCACTTGTGCTCCCCCTACAATGCCTACATTCTTTGCCAAGGGAAGGTAGCACTGGCATACAGCACAACTTGACTGTTGCTATCTGACCCCAGTGCCCCGTGTACAGCCAAGTCCTACCCTCTTGTTCCTTACTATCTAGAAAACAGGAAGGGATGTTGATGGCAACTGAACCACAGCAGAGAGACCACTGGAAATCTGACAGTTTAAAGATTTAAGGGATCTGTGATAACTTCATGAAATTGAGGGTATAAATCCCAGCAATGACTGTCCATTCTCATGAGCTGTAAGTTCATGCTGAAGCAACTACTCTGCTCATTCCAGTATCTGGCTCACAACATGACAGTGCAGCTATAGAAGCAGCACCAAGTTGTTACTTGCATAATCTTGGATCCCTGAAGTTCACTTGCAGTGAGTTAAATCCCACAAATGACGTAAATCTGTGTGCTGATGTAACTCAGAGTAGTTTCACTGCAATCAGACATCAGATGGAAATCAAACTCTAAGTGCAAGTCTTTCATGTAGCTTCACTTTAACTGAAATCTGATCTTTGTTTTCCTCATCTTTTATTTTTTATTTTAAAGTGTTGCCACTTTTAAACATCTACAACAGCCAAACAGGCTTGATTCACATTTACATTCTGATAGTTTTATAATTCATTGAAAAACAGAATGGCTTGGGTTGGAAGGGACCTCAAAGATCATCTAGTTCTAAACCCCCTGCCAATCACAAGATTAGACTGCCCAGGAACCCATCCAACCTGGCCTTAAACACCTCCAGGGATGGAGCATTCACAGCTTCTCTGGGCAGCTGTGCCAGTGCCTTACCAGCCTCTGAGTGTAGAATTTATTCCTAACATCTAATCAAAAACCTTCCCTCTTTCAGTTTAAATCCATTTCCCCTTGCCCTATCACTATCTACCTGTATAAAATGTCAGTCACTCTCCTGCTTGTAAAAGAAGTAAAAGAAGATCGCAACGAGGTCTCCCCAGAGCCTTCTCTTCTCTAAGCAATCTCAACTCCCTCAACCTTTCATCACAGGAGACATGCTCCAGGCCCCATAATTCTTTAACAGTGTAGAGAACGCTTAGAATAGCACATAATTATGATGTATTTGTACTTTAAAGTTTCCCTACAATTTGCTAAAGCAATGAAAAGTAGCATTGGAATAAATTAAAATTAATCCCACACACAAAGAATTACCAGCTTGTAATTCACTTCTTGGTCATTCATTCTTACTACAGCCTACAACAAAAGTCCATCAAACTTACAAAAGAACCTGAAGCTCAAATACAAAACACTTTCAAGTGAGGCTAAGACTTATTTGCTGCACTTAACAGTTTCTCTTACTACTCTTACCAATTTCCTCAACCACAGCTACATCACAATCACACAGCCTGCCCAGCTGCTAGCAGGCAGCCTGACAAAATATGGGGACAAGTTTAGGACCATTACAAATTCAAAAAACTATAGTTACCATTGCAATTTTCTATGAAGAAGAGAATCACACTTCTATTCTCACAATAAAGTTAAATAGATGTTCTTGACTAAATTCTCTAAAAACAGGACTAAGACTCTCCCTGTTCAGAGCCAGTGAACATTCTGTGTTCTTGTCACTAATGAATAAATTCTCTTGTTTAAGAGTCATTAGAATATTTACTGTAATTCACTGAAGTGTCCTTCTGTAAAAAGTTGTAAAACAGTACTTTATCAAGGACAGATAGAGTTATGGAAGCTCAGGTGAAACAAAAAATTTCCAAAATGCCTGTAATTTCCATCAAAAGGCAAGCAAAACAGTGAGTGTTTCTCAAAGGTAGCACACCTATGAGCAGATATTAATATAGAACATTGTTTTCAAATTGCACAGAACTGAATTGAGGCTGACTTCTTTATTTAACAACATAAATACCAGATGATCTTTCTAAATAACCACCAAATCACACACACAAAAAAAAACCAACAAGAAAACGTTTTTCCAGAGCACAGAGCTCATTCTCCTGTCTGCCTGCTTTCTCTTGCTCCACACTTCAGTTCTTCCCTCCTCCCCCCCCTCCCCCCTCCCCCCTCCCGATTGCTCAAATGAGCAAAGTACAGACTGTCTTCCATGGATAAAGAAAGGAAGAGTTTGCTAGCTAATTAAGGACACCATGTATCACTAGTTATTCTGTCTAGTGTCAAACCCGAAGGGGAGATGGTTATTTGGCAGAAGATGTATCTAAGGAAGGTTTTAATTAATGCAATTGTGGCCACACCAGTGCATGACAGGATAGCAGTGCTGTGCCATTTCTATCAGCCACATTAACTCCCAAAGTAGGATCTCATGGTAGGCAACATCCACACCAGGGACAATACACTAGCTTGTTAGTATTCTCAGCTCATGGACTAAGGGCTGAGATCCGAATCCTTCTGCTCTAAAGCAAGAAATGAGGTGGCATAAGCATGCCAGAAGAAGATACTCTGCGCCTTACAAGCCATATTCGGTCCTCCAAACTCTCTAAAAGAAGTTACAATGACTACAGTAAGCTCTACCTTACAGATTGTGGGGATGTGTATTAATGTTGTCCAAACAAAACATCAATACACTTCCAATTGCTGCCCTTTCACTTTCTGGTTGGCAAAGTGTCTGTGGGAAAAGAGGCACAATGGAATCTCTGCACTCTTAGGACAGGACTAAGAAGGACACAAATTAGAATTTGCAGCATGTATGACAGTTTCAGAGACCAAGCCATATCTTACAACTCTTGTTCACTGCAGAAGCTAGCACAATAGCTGCTATCATAATGAAAAACCTTCAATTTTCATTTCCCTTTTAAGATACTGCATCCATTTTATTTAATAAAGATCAAGGGCAAAAGAAATCCTACTCTTAGATGAAACGTGCTAAATACTTCAGAGTAATGTTGTACTGAGGGCTTTCATTAATTGTGAAAGCCCTGTAGAATTTCACTCCCCAGAACAATGTAACACCTGAGAGCCTTGGCTTGCCCCACAAGTTTGGGGCAAATGGATTGCACCTGTAAGAAAAACACTGGTACATTAACTGCTCTATTTTTAAGATCTCACTCACTCATAGTTTTCCTTCCTTTCACTCAGACACAAGCACACAGTCTGCAAACGCTCCTCCTCTCTCTTTCACGCTTTCTCTCCCCCTCTCACCTCTTTCCTGGCCCGTTGGACTTGTTTCTCCAGTTCCTCAGGTATCATCTTACCTCTAAGGGACACAGATTTAAAACTTTTTCAGTTACATTCAAATAAGTTGGTTAGTACAGCACTACTGCATTTCAAAAAGCTCAGAGAACACAGCAATGATTTTTGCTTGCTTACCTTTCATCTGTTTTGATGAAGTAAACGTTCTCCGTACCAATACCCAGGAAAGAGGCTGCCTTCTTCATGGAGTAATGACACTGTAATTGAAAGAGTCATAAAAAAAAGAATTAAAAAAGAGCACAATTAAAAATTCCTTTGCATAGGAAACACTGATATTGAAATAAATTTAATACCAGCTAACAGTCATAATAACAGTATATCCTAACACATAAATCAAATTGACAAAGCTGCCAAGTAGAAAGACGTGTTGTACTTAACAATTTATGACAGGGAGCAGGGAAAACAAACAAAATAGATGCGCACCATGTTTAAAATGTTGGCTTAGAAATAAAAAGCTCCATTACATATCAATAGTTTAAGCCAATACTACACTAGAATAAAAATAAGAAAAATTTAAAATAATCATTAAGAAAGAATGATTAACTTCTTTTCGAAATGTGAACTTCGTTTCAAAATGTTTAAATAGGAATGAAAGTAATAAGAGTAAAAGTCAATTTCACAAGAAGAAAGGTCTAAAAGCTACTGAACTCAGCAGCCCAGAGGCAGCTTATAGGTCTGAATATCCAAAAGAACCACCCCTGGAAACTGGACTCTTAATCAGGATGTATACAAAGATAATGTCTCTCTACCACTTCATAATTCCATTTTTTCTATATGCTTTCTCTAAACAACAGCTGTTGGACACTGTCAGAGACAGGATACCTACATTAAACCAACTTTTGGTCTGACTCAGCAATTCTGTTCTTAAGATCACAGAGTTTAAGTTCCAAGACTTAACAAAATTTTTAGAGTTTGTACAATCAGGACTTTCAAGGCTTTCAAATCCTTGAAAATCTTGGTGGTTAGACCAAGGTTGTCCACATGAATTTGGATCTTGGAAGCCATTATTAAAGCAAGCAGACTTTAGATGGCACTTAGTACATCGGACATCTTTAAATCAGTATGGATTACGGAAAAAGTTCCAGTTTGAACCAGCCTATATTTTAGTATTTTATCAAAGAATTGTAGCTACGTCCTGTGAAAAAGACGTCTATGAACAAATGCAAATGAACACCAATACACACAGCGTGCTTCTCATTTTGAACCGAATAAAGGGCATCTGTGCACGAAGCCTGTAAAGTGACTGTAAAAGATGCCCCTTCACCTGCTCGAAGGATATCAGAAATGGGCTTTTAGTCAATCAATGAATGATAAAATTACTCAGATGAGAAGGACATTTGAGCTCACAGTCCACTCTGTAGACTGTCCACTCTTTTTTTCTGTTAAATATTCAAGATCTTTTAGCTTCCTGCATTTCCAATGTTCAACTTAATAAAGTGGAAGCAGCTCTATAGGGATACCATTCTTCAGTGTAACAGCTTTTTGTATCATTCCAAAATAAGAGCACACTCATATCACACAGCTTAACCCATTTTCAAGAGTAGCCCGGGAATTCAAGACACAATAACCTTAATCTGAACTTGTTCTGAGATCTCAAACTCTCAACACCCTGCAACATGATAAACGTCTACCCACTCAAATCAATGGAGCAAGTTTTGAGAGCATTCAGCATCTCATAGGACTACACAGTTCTCAGAATCAAGACTACCCAAGTCTGGGATTATTACTTCTAAAAAAATCAAATTGGATTTTTTTACACATTATTACTGAAGAGTTAAAACAAGCCTTATTCCAGCAGCCGTGACAATGTCTAGAATTGTTACTTTTCAGATAGGAGGTGAAACCAGGTGGATAATTAATTCCATTTTCTTCCAGAGAGTTCACACAAATGGAGTTACTGCAGAACATAATTATGAAAAATGTACAACATTTTAATGTGTGGGTATGAATATATTAAGGATATTAAAGCCTGTCACGCTTATTTTGATGAGATGGATCATCTCAAAGGGCTCTTTTTCATTTTGACAAAAAGCTTTTCTCCTCACCATTGCACACTTTTTAAAGGCATACAAAAATACTACCTGATAGTATCAGTTAGTTCTAAGAATGCTTACTTTTGTAACGTGACACATTCACAAAACCTTTAGGACACGTTCATTTCAACTCCACAAAAATTGCAAGATACATAGGTAGATAATTAGTCTTACATGGCATCAATAATGGTAATAATGATTGTAGAGTGGCTATGTGTTGATCAGTGGAAATTTGGAGATGCTTTAAGCTATTTAGCAAATTGTTGAAAATAAGGTCTCTATCACTGATTTCTGTCCATTAGGGTCAAATGAAAGGTATGAACCACTAGAAATAATACAGTCTCAGATTTGGAAAGCTGTAGAATTACAAAATGACTGTATTAGTAAAGTACTCCTGACTAAATAATTTATTATTAAAACTGGTATACAAGAATGAGAGAAAGATAGGAGACTTGAGCCCTTGAGAGATTATACTAAAGAGCAAAAGGAGAGGGAAGAATAGAGAGGACACTAAAACATAACAGGCTGCCAGGTGTATTATTTCTCGCCTTTACAAGAACTTCTGTTCCTCCTTCTGTCCTACTGAAGACCTGATAAAATTTGATAAGTCTACAGTAGGACAGAAAAGTGACTGTATATTACAACACTGCCTTGAAATGTGCTTTCTTTTCTTCAAAGTAACCTTTCAGTTATATTGCTAGAAAACATACATGAACTTCATTTTTTTCACCATCATTACATAAACCTAAATCACACCACATTCTTTTAAGAAGAAAACAGAGAACATTAGCAGCTCTGGTCACAACAATATCAAATAGTTCATTTGTTCATAGTGTCCTTTCAATAAGGAGAAAGCAATACTCAGATAAAACATTATTTGTATCTATACTACATATAAGATATCAAGTAATAATTTTTAATACCAAAAGTTGAGATTACTTTTGCCTTGTCTTTTGTAGTTTTGATTGGACATGTTAACTCTGTAATCATTAGGAGTGAGAAATGAATGCCAAAAAGCACAAGATCAAACCAAAACAGTACATTTAAGATGTGATGCTGTACTGTGTTAACTACAGCTAGACAGTTAGTTTTCTTTTTCGAATAAGATTTGCAAAGATAATTTACTTTCCCCATGCGCTCATTAAAAGAGAAGATAAATGTCTTCTCTTGATTTTGAAGAGTTTCCTACAAACATGATTGCATAAAGCAATTACATTATTATGAGATTGGCTTATTACTCATTTTTGTCTGATGTAATTTCAACAGGGGGCAACACTGTGAGTTAAAGTTGTGTTCTTCCATTTTATTACTTTCATGATCAAGGAGGAATTTAATTCCTTTGCATCTAAAAACTACGCATAACCACAGAATCGTAGGGGTTGAAAGGGACCTCCAGAGATCGAGTCCAGCCCCCCTGCCAAAGCAGGTTCCCTACAGCAGGACACACAAGTGGGTGTCCAGGTAGATCTTGAATATCTCCAGAGAAGGAGACTCCACAACCTCCCTGGGCAACCTGTTCCAGTCTCATATCAACACGTACATTTCAACAGTTTACACATACACTCTTCTACCCTCAGCTACCTCAAATTTAGCAAATTCCTACCTTTCAGATCAATGCAATACATTCTTGGGTCAGAATAAAGCTCAAATGGAGAAAAATGATAATAATAATAATGATAATAATAAATGAAGCAGGTGGGTTGCTGTCTACAACTATAGCTGTATTCAGATTCTACGGAAACACTAATCATGCCTCAGGAAAGTGAGATTTAACAACTTCTAACTACTGAAATGGTCTGAAGAGGAATCACTCTGTAATTGTCCAGCAAGAGAGATATGGAAGAGTACCATCTTCGTGGAATATCATGACCGTAAAGTAGTTTAGCATTTTACTTGCAGTAAAAAGGAGCACTTTTGTTGCTGAAGGCCAAACACAGCATGTGAGGACCTTCAGTAGGCCACACAATAAACACAGAACTTCATATTAACTACAAACATATGAAGAATACATAGTCCCCAGGTCACACAAAATTAAGTCGCTGACAACTCCATGCACTCCCTGCTCTTTCAGCCTGCCAACTGCCAGACAGAAACTGTGGGACTTGGCAACTCAAAGCAAAACAAAAATCATTTTATTTCAATAGCATTGAAGCAAAGCCCTACAACTAGAGTGCCTGGAGCTGACAGTGCATTTTGACTCCTTATCAGTACTCTCACTTCATTAAAGCCTCATTACTTCTCCATGCCAACACTATTTGCCTTACTCACTTTAAAGCTAAACACAGGTTGCAACTTCGCTATTATTATTTTTTTCAATCATTTGCTTACACAACACAAAACAGGTCTATGCCTTCTGGGTACTCTGCAGAACAAAAACAACAGTAAAATTCTATACAAAAGCAGCATCAAAATAAAAACAAATAATAAAAAATGAAGACTGACACAAGCACTTACATACTTCTTTTTACTGTTGGGCATTTGTTAAATACACTCTTAATAACAGGACATATCTGAATTAAACTAGTTGCAAAAGGTAGCAAAATTTGTACAGATGGATCAAAAATATACATCAGTATGTACCATCCTCCCTCAAAATGAAGAATAAAAACTAGATGTCTTTGACCAGTCACAATATCTACCTGCTAAAAGTGGCAGTCCTACAGCAAGCAGTCACTAATTACATCATGGTTTTGTGAATCAAGTGAAGTATTACAGATCAAGAACACTGCCTTAAAAGTAATTCAACTTTTTTTTTTCTGGTTGATTCTGTGTTTCAGTAGAGTTTGTAATAACACTTCTGCACAATGAGAAAACCAAAACTGGAGAAGTGAGAGAAAAGAGCCCCTAAAGAAAAAGAAATTAGCTTCAGAATAAATGTATGGACATATCTCCAATTCCCACAGACAGTTTGAACAGTTTGAATATTACTCAAAAACTTCAGAAATAACCACATATTTTCAATTATTTAAAGAAGAACTGCCTAGAGATCCAGAAGAATTTGCCCAAATATTTTATGGTAGGTTTTGTTCTCTACCACAGCAAATTCAGATACAGGTACCAGTGGGAGCTGCAGAGAGCCATTTCACAGGTCCAGAGGCATTCAGCTCAATACAAACTTTGACACCTTGCAAGAAAAATTTCTGAAACCTACACATGGATCCTGCTAGACTTTAAACTGTAGGTCTCCACAACACCCCACACGCTTTGCTTTCAGGTTTACCCCATGCACAATCTTTTCTTCTATCAGCTTCTCCCAAGAACAAGAACATCCAAAGTTACTTGGACAATACGAAAGCTTCTGTAGGGAAATTTATAATCAGACTTGTCCAGGTAGCTCTGATATTTTGCATCATCCACTGATGGCAAATTCATTGTACCAGGACCCCAGTCAGACATGTGAATGTTATAATTATGCAGCCATTGAAAAATAAAATTAATTGTTAAATGCTTTAAGAAGATCTTTTTTGTTTTTACCTCTTCCGAAGTGAACAGGACTAGTCTTGGCAAACCTGAGAGCCCTTTTTCCTTTATCTCTGGACAAAACTTGTATCTTGCTAAGTTCATAGCATACATATTAGAAACAGAGCCACCTGAAATAAAAGATATACAAGTATCATATTAATCACAGTCCTAGCATCTTTTCTATCTCTGAGTGATTAGTCTATTACAAAAAAACAAGAAAAAAAAAAACACAAAAACCCCCCAAACTACTAGGCTCTAGATGAATTTACCGTAACTTAATTCCTCCCCCAAAAACCTGCAGATATAAAATGAACTATATCATGAATGGAAACAGAGCTGGTTTGAATGCTCTTTGGAGGTATTTCCCAAAGAAGTAAGAATTATGCTTAACCAGTCCTCCATGATGGAGAACACCCTGCAACAACACCTTCTGACACACACCAAAGCAGCACCAGTTGAACTGTGGCTGTATTGTATGTAGCCTAGGAGATCTCCTGGGCAGCCAGAGCATCGCAAGGAAAAAATAAAAATAAAAATCCATGGTGAGTGCAATCTGCAAGGTGTGGTCTAGATTTATTTACTTAAAAAATAATAAAAAGAAGAAGGAATGTCTTATCTAAAACTATCGTTAAAAGGCATAATTCATTTATCTATTTCAGTATTTCAGTAAGTTAGAATTAATTCTACAGTAAAGACAAGGGTTCTACTGAAAGTACACATCGTATCTGAAATGAAGAAATCAATGTTACTGATACATTTTTTCACAAGTTTTCCAGAGAGTTTTGGTTTATATCTTTTTTATTTTTCCACGATTCATACATAGGGTAGAATTCCTAGCCTTGTCTTGGTTTTGAAAGTGGAGGGCTAAATCCATTTCTTCATTTAACATATTTTTCCACCCCTAACCTAGTCACAAAAGCTTCACATTCAATATAGTAACTTGGAATTTGAACAATCTGTGGAATAATACGACATTATTTCTTTACATGGAGCTGGAATGCTGCCTTATAGAACACTTAAAAAACGTGACCTATCAAGAAGCTTAAGAAATCTTTCTTTGATTGGCCTATTTGTAACATTTCAAAAAACTGTCAAAGTTCAGAGGAATGAAGCTCATGTCAAACCCACTATAACAGACTCTGGCTCCCACACATGATAGCCAGAATAAATACCTCAGCGCCTCTAGGAGCAACTGGTTGGTGTCTAGCAACTACATCAGTTCTCTATCTGTCATCAAATGACTCAGTGCAATCCAGCTGTTGGTGCTGTTGTTAGTAAGGTCAGGAAGGACTTCCATTCCAAACAATTCATTTTCTACAATTACATTTCACACAGAACTTCTTTCGTCAAGCTGCTGATCAGATTCATAGAATTATTAGTAGAATACAAAAAAGGAGCCTGGACACAATAGTTTCCTCTGTGCATCACTGGATTTCACATGCATTTTCAAATATTCTGTACAAATCAAATGTTCATAGAATTACTATATCAGATGTATCATGACTTCTTTTGAAAACCTGAATTGTTATTACCTGGATTAAATATGCCATCACCTTCTTCCCAGCCTATGAATTCAATCATTTTCTTGATGACTGCTTCTTCCACTAACAGAAATACAGGTGATACTTCATATGTGTATCTGAACAAAAATAAAAGGAACATGTTTGGTATTAAGATTATGGAACTCATGCCACAGCATCATGTCAAAATTAGACAGAGGTTTTTTTGTACCTTTCTCTTACTTATCAGAAGCTGATTGCCATCAAAAGTAAAATTCTAAACTGAAAAGACTATAGATGTGACCCACAGAAAAATTGCTTAGTTCCTGTCAGCATTACAATGACAATTCCACTCTCACAGTAATACCACAGAGTTTGATTTTAACAAAGATCATAATGCTTAAACTTCAGCAATAATAATCTATTGCAAGCAGCTATCACTTTTTGTTTAGATTTTACATTTGCGACTAAATAGTAGACAGGTAATCATTTGCACTCAACTCTGTGCAGAGCACATCAAAGGAAATAAACAACTAATAAACAACTAAGTTGGATTCATTCATTTTGATATTTTTATTCTCAAAGTAAGGAGAAAAAAAGTTTGGGTTTAAAAGTGTTTAAAAAAAAAAAAAATCTCTTAAGCCTCAAAACACAAACTAGAAAAATCATCAGCTTAGCCAAGATTCTGGTGAGCTATTCAGACAAACTAGACCAAATTCTTTCCCAAATTCCTGCACAATTCCTACCTCCTCTGGAACACTGAAAACAGGGAAAAAAAATTACAAGGGGGAGAAGAGGGGATAGTGGAAGATGTTACTTCAAAAAGCATGCAAGATTCATCAATGTGAGTACAAGGAACTGCACTTACACACTTGGGTTCAATGCTTCAGTAATGAAACGAGCCACTAATGAGTAATAATCTATTCCAGCGTACAGCTGATTGTAAAATCTTGGATGATCTGAAAATATAAATGAAAAGCAAGCAGCGACAGAATGTATATGAGAAGAGAATACATCACAGGTTCTCTCAGCTGAATGCTGATCCCTGCTAACCATGATTCACTCCCCCATTCTCTCAATATTTTACGGGTTTACTGTCCTTTTTTAAATTAGACAATCCTTTGAAAGTAAAAGTTATAGGCATTTTTAGGACCCAAAATAAGGCTGACGTAAGTAGCGCACAGAACAAATATGGATTATTCACAAGCTTTAAAGATCAAAAAGAAGTGACTGACAACTGAGTATGTACAGAGGCCTTTAACAGTGGTGTTCAGAGATGCAATGGACATTCAGCCAAGTTTTCCTAAACAGTAAAACATGTAAAATCAGGTAAGCTGTATGACTCCATGCCCATTACACTCAAGGCTTCAATACATGTTTATACTTAGATTAAGAACTATTTACACTGCAAATTTTTCTTATTTAATATTCTTTCTAAGCATAACAAATGAAAATTTGAAGGCAATTTGCAGAAGATAATCAGAATGCCTTCCACTAACTCAGTAATTATATCTGTGTATTATTAATACACTGCCCCTTTAGATCGGTATTACTGCCTTTCCATGGTTTTCAAGGATAGGTTCATCCTTAAAATCATTTTATGGCTTTCCTTACAGTAGCAATAGAAGCAGTAGGAAGGAATGTGCCTTGGAAATGCACAGAAATCATATTACATAACCTTCTCACTTTCCAAAATACAGCCCAAGCTATGCCACATCTGAAATCATGAGCTTCTGAAAACAACACTATTTCTTATTCATCCCTTTTTGTTAAGTTTACATTATACTTCACACACTGCAGAAAGGCTACCCATAGAGAACCATTCTTGCAGAGATGTCGTGTACCATCTCTGAAACACTGCAGGTTCTCTTCTCACAGCGTCTGGAATGGGAATTACTGCCTGTTGGCAAATTAACATCCTCTAAGACTATTGCTCAATAGAAAGCAACAGTAAACACACGATAATTATCTCAAAGAATGCATTCTTATTTGTCCAAGGGCAGTGATGGTGATTCCACTCATCACTGCACAAAATTACATACAAAGATCTTTCCAGTTTCTTTGTTATATCATATATGTCTAGGCAACTTTCACAAGACCTCAAGAGGACAGAATCTACTGTTAACATCAACAGCATTATGATAATTAGGTTTTGATTAGTTTTCTTTGATTACACCTTCTGGGCAATCACAGACACCTACGGTGACCAGCATGCAGTCAAACAACTGAAACACAATCAAATATTTGTGTATTTGTGTAGGCATAGAAAGCAGGCATTCAAATCCCTAGTTTTCTGGAAGATAATTGAGATATATAAACATTATCCTATCTTCCAAGGTTAGTATACTACAAAACAACTTCATTAGAAATTGCATTCTTACTGGTTTTGACACTGTACTGTATCACATCCTGGCAGAGCTGCAAGAGTTTCTGATGAGATTCTCCAGTGTCTCTCATTTCCAGATCAAGAATCTTCTTCAGTGTTTCAGGGGCCCGCCATTCACAAACCTAATGATGATTAAATAGGATACACCAACAGTGAACAGGTTAGGTAAAAGGAAGGCTGTAAGAGAAGTGCCAGGTAAGTACCGCATTCAGAACTGCCCATGGAATGCAGCAGGCCATCAAGACAATATATGTCTGCTAAGTTGGTCTCATGTGGTCTTTGTTTTATTGCACCCCAGACATTCCTTGACCATAAAAATCAGAATATGGAAGGCAGAAAGATGTAAAAGACTGGGAGGAGAAGGTGTGCCAGTTGGAATGCACGGATGTAAAGAGTCAGCCTTGAGTCACCCAATTATCTTGCTCATGGCTCATATGTCCCAGTTAGGAGAAAGAGGCCTACTGGTCATATTTTGCCCTTAGCTAAGGCTTTGTAGTCCCAACACTTTCAAATGCTGCTCTGCCCAGGGGTGGGAGCAATCTGTGCGTGCCCAAAGGCAATAATGTTTTATTTTCTAGTGCCCTTCCAACACATCCACTCTAGCAGGGTTTCTGCGAAACCCAGGGCAATCTCATTATATTCCCTTCCGCAGTAGTACCACATTCACTGTCCCTCCCTCACTCATACCAGTGCCTCTGAGGAATAAACAATTCCCCACAACCAAATCAGGAAATGCACTACACCCATTTGTCAGCTCAGAGAAAGTCAGCACTGTGTTCTGAGACAAAACATAAATAAATAAATAAAGCTTTAGTTTCTGGCAAATAGGTATGCTAGCCATGTTACTGGAAGGTTTTTAAAATTTGAACTGCCACAGACTAGAAGCAATTTTGATTCTACTTGAAGTGGCAATAAAATACAGCTGAAAAAAATTATTCATTGTTCATTATTTCTGCTGCAACTTTTCAACAACACTCTATGGCTTTACCTTTTCTGTAACATCATCAGCTTTCTGGATTATTTTTTCCATTATGATCTTACAGGCCTCTTCCACAAATTTCTCTCCTGCTTTTGAATCAGTTATTGGACCATTCAGGATGACTCCATCCACCAAGACAGCATTCTTCTTCTTCTGGAGTACATCCTGTTTGCAAGTACTAGCTGGAAGATAAAAAAAAAAACAACAAACCTCTGCATTAGACAAGGCCAGGTCATCCTAAGCTACAAAATACTCTTTCATTGCTGAAGATTCAGTGAACATAAGGAAATAAAATTCACATTGTCTTTTCATGCGTACAAAAATCCTAGATTTTGTTGGAAACCTCTTTACAGACAAATACAACCACTTTGTGTTACTTTAGATCCAGACTGATACTACGTAACAGCCAACTGCATGGTATCCACTGTTTTCTGTAGCATACGAAAGCATGCAGTGCACTTTCCAACCTTAGAAGAAAACACAAGTATGGTCCTCAGCATGATACAGCTGGATAAACAGAAAGGAAGTGTGAAATAACAGACACTCTTCTCAGCTGAAAATGTTTCTTTCCTATTCTCTCTTTTCCATGATACATTCCCAGCTTCACTCAGTCGTGTTATAGAGTCCTCTGTGTTCTCTGCAAAGTTTCACTGATTCCACCTCCATGAAAATAACACATTAATATCATATACCTGAACTCTTTTCCCCCTATCTTAGGTGACTTCAGTCACCTACTTGAGCATTTTTTGCTACGTATATTAACTTTTTTATTCAGTTCTCCATTGGTGACCTCTTTCCTCTCCCTTACCTTTATCTGTGACACACTCTCCTGATGAGTTGCATAAGCACAGCACTACTCCCTTTACATTACTTCCAAAAGCACATCCAAAGTGCCTACTAGAGACAGGACATCAGTGACAATCGCGTATCTATTTCATGTATTGATTTCTTACCGCAAGATTAGAATGCCAGTTTTAATCAACATGAGGGTAAAGATGAAAGTGAGACATTAGGAGATACCAAGGGAACAGACATCTGAAAGAGAACAGCACTGAAGGCAGAAGAGGTAACTACTATATCCAAATTACCTGGATTACACATAGCATCAGTACACAAATCTAGCCCTAGAATAGCTACAGTCTATGAGGTCAGGCTGCATTGCCTTGGAGGGTCTTCTTCAGTTGGTGCTACAGTGAAAATATTGGAAGGGTAAGAACACATGAAGGAGAAAATCTTATGCTTGAAACAACTTTACCATCTGCAGAAGCAAGGTGGCTTTTTAAGAGGTGTACACAAACAGCTGAATTTCCAGAAGACTGCAGGGCAGTCAGGTACATTCATTGTGCCTGTACAGGATTATATAGAACAACAGTGTCTACAAAGGTGGAGGCCTTCAGGGTCTACTGATAGAAAGAAACTCTGTCAATCCCGTAACTCAGAGCAGCTGTTCACTTCACTTTCACTTATTAGGACAGGTATTACAAATGAGATCAAATTCCAGCAAGTGATGGAACCTCAGGTTTCCCATAAACAAGACATCAAGCTTCTGCATTTCTGAAATTACTTCTGTTTTTAATCCAAAACAACATTTTCCTGAGCAGAACATTTTGCACATTGTTACAGGAGAGGCAAATGTTCTCATGGGACAGATACAGAGCTAGCATGTAAACACTACTCCATTTTCAACAAGCAAAGAGGGAAAATCCCTTGCATCAGAAAGCTAAACTCTCGTCAAGCTGCCCAACACACCACAGTAGGAGCACTAGACAGAAATTGCAGCTTTAAAGAAGCTTTACAGGTTTCTCTCTGAAAAAATAAGCTAGTAGGTTAATTTTGCAAGACCTAAAACACCAGGTATTAACAACAAATGGGAAGGCAACAGGCCTTTTAGTGGATAGAACAGGGACTATTTTTGGATTGAATATCAGTTCTTTTCTGTATAAGTGAACCCCTTAAGTACCAACCAGAGCTTAGAACAAACATGGAAAAACTCAACCTTGCCATCTCCTCAAGATTACAGAATTACCTACACTAGAAAAGACCATCAGATGAACTGTCAACCTGACATACCAAGTTTTATCATTAAACATGCCCCTTAGTGTCATACACACACGTCTCTTAAATGCATCCAGGGTTGGGGACTGCACCAACTTCCCCAAACAGGCTGTTCCACTTCATATTTGACCACTTCTTTCATGAAGAAATCCTTCCCAGTGTCCAATTTAAATCTTCCTTGGTGCAACTTGAGATAATTTCCTCATGTTCTACCACCTGTCACCTGAGAAAAGAGGTGGACAACCTCTTCAATGCAGCCTTCTTTCAGGTAGCTGTAGATAGCTATGAGGTCTCTGTCTCCTCTTCTCCAGACTAAATAGCCCCAGCTCACTCCCTCCCTCTCTTCACGTCTCTTGTTTCCTAGTCTCTTCACCAGCTTCACTGTACTCTCCACATACACTCAAACAACTCAGCGTTCTTCCTGCAATGAAGGACCCAGAACTGACCACAGTATTATAGGTGCAGTCTCACCAGCACTGCATAAAAAGGGGCAGTCACCTCCTCTACTCTGCTGGCCACATTATTTCTGATGCAGGCCAGGCTCCCACTGGCCTTCTTGGCCACCCAGGCTTACTGCTAGCTCATGTTCAGATGCTAACATCCACAGGTCTACATCAATGGCGTTTTGTTGCTATGGAAAAGAGGACAAGATCTGAACAAGTATCTGTTGATACTTCTTCTGATTACAGAAATATCCAAAAAATGGTGGAGCAAGAGAATTCTAACTCCTTTTCTTGCTCTGCTGTCTCTGCTAGAACCAAAGCTGTCTAAAAGATTTTGCTGGTAACTCCATCTGCCCTACTTTTGATACTTTCACACAGAGATGCAATACAAGCACTTCTATGACTTTTCACAGAATTTCTTGAAGAGGTCATTGTAAAGAAAGTGCAGAACCTTATGTTACATTTCCTGTCAGGTCTTTAGGGGCTGGGTGATGGGTCTAACAAGAGCCTTGTATCTGAAGCAAGTCTATTGACCTTTGCAGACAGTTCTAGAGTCTCCAAAGGACATTTTGTGAAGCCTGAAGAGAAAGAAATTTCTGGAAAATGGGTGCTACCCCAGCCCTACTGTCCACACACCTGCATTGGGCCTCAGGCACAGTCTATGAAAGAAAGGCAAAGCAGAGGGGTCAGGAAAAAGGGAGGGAAAAGAGCCTTCATTTCAACAGCAATTTACCTGTATAAATCTCTGCTAAAGAGTTCAGGACTTAACCCACATTATATTCCTTAAATAATGCACCTTGGATTTATTTAACATTTTCAAACTTTCCATGTTCACTTGTGCCATGGTTTTGTGATTTTTGTTCTCGGTATTCCACGTCATAACTTCATGTAGGGCACTGGGAGTTTAACTGTTAACGCTCAAGTTCTGGGCACTGACAACCATGTCATTGACCAAGACAACCTGCCAGTTCAATCTGAACCTGCTGATCTAAATTCTGCCCTGTAACACAGCTTTATGCAATTAATGCAATTATGCAATTAAAATGTCTCCTATTTTATTCTGTTGTCCCGTGACATCAGAGAAGGATGGTGGTGGTACAGCAGTAGAGGCTGAACCTTCCCACCAATATTCCACTCCATGTTGTTGCTGTGTGACAGATGGCAGAAGAGGAACAGTCTGACAAAATGCTGTCTGACATCAAAGTACATCTGAAGCAAAGGGGTGGAGCTGAATTCCTCCAGGAGGAAAAAATGGCACCCACTGACATTCATCAATGCTAGTAAATGTTGATGTAGACAAAACAGTGGATGTGGGCACAGTGAAGTGATGAGTGGTGCATTTCAGCAATGGTGACAGTGGGTCACCTCCACTGGTGCAGACTTTCACTGGTGTGGCATGCAGGCTCTTGTTCATTGCTGGCAAAAAATGTACAGCTAATGGTGGTGAGTGTGTTGAAAAACAGAATTTCTAGCTGAGAAATTTCTCTATCAAATAGAATTATTGCGTTCTCTGTATCTGTTGTATTTCCAATGTAAATAAATAGGAGGTATTACTTTCATAGCTACTGATGTAATAGAAAAAACTATTTCTCAATTAACATCTAAAATGAACAAAAACATACTCATATTATGAACTAAAGGATTTCAGGTTTGGAAACAGCCACTGGATATAAATACTGTTCCCACCTCTCACGATTTTACTCCTGTGATACTTAATTTTCTACTTACAACTGAACTCTGGAACTTTTATGAGACTCCTAAACTCCACTTAGAAATAAACTTTTCTCCTCTTGGTTGCAGCAAAAGTATTGAGAGGAAAGCCAAGTGGATGATACAAGGCCAAAATTTTCAAAATAGAAGTTGATGTTAAAATTGCTTTTCGTTTTATGCATTTTTTAAAAAAGAATCTACGACCAGTTTATTGCTTTGGATGTGTGAACCTTGAGAAAAATTCTTGTTTTAGTTTTCACATCACAGCTCTCAAATTAAAAGATGTCTTCCCAGAGCACAGCTTAGAAACACTCCCGCTGTCTTTACTAGCAAATAATTTATGCTGCACTTCCATTGAAATAAATACATTTCTAATGCTTAAAATATTTTAGGCCTTTTGCATATCTTTGTCTCAGAAACACCTGACTGCATTAATGTAACCAGTCATCCTTTGTTCCACATGAAGCCCATATGCTTCTCTTTTTTCGGTTTTTTAACAACATGGTATGCAAACAATTTAGAAGCGTAGCAGCAGTAAATATAGTCTTTTTCATTTAAGATTACAGAAACAGACTCCTAAGCAGACTCAGAAGACAGACTCCCATAAAGCGTATCAAATGCCATTTCTGCCAACTGGCACCAGGCGTGAAACAGAACAAAAAATTTAACAAATGAAAATGACTTAAATCAGAGATTAAGGATTATTGACTGTTCAAGATACTCTCCTGCAAAAGAGAAGACTTGATCCTGCTCCGCTTGAGCGTAATTGGGGATTTATCCCTTGGCTACAGCAGGAGTAGAATCAAACTCATAATTCTGACATTTCATTCTGAATGAAATATTGTATTATAGAAACTTAAGAGTTTCTAACTAACATGTCATTTTTATGATCAATATTATCTTCCCAGCAGAAAACAAATTAATGGCAGCTGAAATAACACAGAGAAAAAAATAAACATTTCTTCAGATGTTGT